TTAATTTTAAATTTTCTAGTGCATATATATATATATATATATATATATATATATATAAAACAGAAAAAATTATTTTAAAAGAGATAAATGAATTATCATCATTAACAAAATTAGTAATAAAAAAAATGTATTGTCTTACTCGGTGGGAAAGCACCAAGTTTTCGGGAAAAAGTTGTAGTCTTTCGGAAACAATTTCTGCATGCGGTTGAGATTACGAGCGAGGAGATCCTTTCTACATATCTCCGTCATCCCGGGAAAGTGATTGATCCTTTGGAATCTCTTCATGTCCTTAGCGCGTTCCACGCTGACGCTTAAGTCGGTCCAATAGAGATCCCAGCTGCTGTCCTCCGTAACTTCTCTCATACCGAAGCGAGCGGCCACACGCCTTACCACATCGTACTTGCAATTCGCCGTGCAGATTGTTAAAAATCTGTTTTGTTAAATCGAAAAATTAGTTTTGCCTTCCAAACGAAACGTGCAGAACTTTGCGGTACCTTTGCTTTCTCTTCTTAGTTTTCGACGTTTCTTCCACGTCCTCCTTGCGCCGTCCTGAATCACTTTGCTCGGGTAACGCGTCTATTCGGAAAGTTTTATTTACGAATTACAAAATAATAATCAAATATAGATAACTTGGAAGATTGGAAGCATATTCAAAAAATATTTTCAAAATCAATAAGTTTTTAAAAAATTAATCGTCACGATTATTACTGAAGCACGAACGAAAATTTCGGCATTTTTACTATGCTTATAAATCCTGTCTATTTTTTTGGTGGATTTATTATTAAAATGTGATTATTTCGAATTTTATCTTTATCTTTACATTTTTATCGAGATCAAATGAGTACCTGTATTATTGTCTGGGGTAATCTTCCAGTAGTGTCGTTCGAAAGCATGCTTAGCAACGTCTGTTCTCTCGTTTGTAAGCGGTACAACATTAGAGGAATCGTTTGGAATTACGATGTATTTTCTATTTTGAAATGCGTGCTCGCAGAATCGCTTCTTGAAGTTGATATCGGACTCGCCGACGCATTGGTCGTCTGTCACGTCCTCTTTTCTGGAATTATCGTCTTTAGAATCGTGCAATATCACCAGCGGACGCTTACCGCTGTACTCGACGACATTCATGACCGTTTTCCATTATTCGATTATTTTTAATCGCGCTGTCAATCAAATCCACGTCAAACTCGATCCGAACATAATCCCTCTCGCATCCGCATTTGCCGCGTAGATGCGATAAATCGTTAATCGATACATTACTAATCTTCTGTAAATTGACATTCAAATCATTGATAGATTCTTTTACGGATTTGTCGCTGCTTGTCGCCCGTACTTAAATCTATTTATATTTAAATAAACTTTACCTCTTTCAAATTATAATTTCGTTTTAGTTTTAAATATTTTAATTAATTATAAGTTATTATTATATTACATAAGTATTGCTAAATATTGAAAAAAAATATATATAATTATTTCTTTCAATTAGAAATTAGATTTAAATTTATCGAACAAATCGAACTCATATCGTCCTGAGGAAAGTATTTTTTTATAACACGAACGTACCTGTCTATTTTTCTGTTATTTCGGCAACGGTAGAACGTTAGATGTCTTCGCGAGTTAAAATCCGCGGCCGATATAGATCGTACTGCGACTGGAAAGACACGCGTCACCGACGTCTGGGTTTACGCGACTACTGCGGCACGGTCGACATGTAAGGTATCTCGGTAGTTAGTTTGGTGCTTTAATTACAGCCCGACGACCATATTTAGAAATTGTACAGTTACGGAAGTGATCACGACACGAAACTTTAAATAGGTTGGTGCGCCTCGCGCAGATCGAACCCTCGCGCACTTTCTTGACGTTTAATTATGTTTCTCGGCTTTTTGCCGTTGTTACGCGAAACAGGCAGGTTCTAAAGTAAGAATTACGAAGGATATCGATCAAGTGTTAAATAAGTACGAGAAATGCGGATCAAGGCAGAGGTCCTTGACAGTAATACACATTACTCGCGACGGAGGAACGATTTGGATCTAATCTAAATCTAGAATCTCATCTGGGAAGGTAAATGAAAGAAAAATTATAAGAGGAAATATTCTTAACTATTTTTCGGTACGATAGGAAAGGTAAGAGTCGAGCGAGGTTAAACGCTACACGATGCGGATAAAAATTTATGAAGGATAAAAAGTTTATTCTGTCCCTGAAGTTACAGTTTGGAGTTTAATTCGGGCACTTTCAAGTTTCTTATCATCTCCACGACGTCCAAGGCGCACCCCCAGCACAGCGTCACGCCACTTCCGCCGTGGCCGTAATTGTGTATCACCTGAAATATAAAACACGAAACAAGTGCTGTAGGAAGCGACCGTAAAGTTTAGCGACGCTCGAACCTCGGTGCCTCGTGTGTGAGGCGAAAGTTCAGAAACGGTAACGCTCTCGTCGTTTTAGTTATTAACGGTGTAATATTTTATGGCCATTTACCTTGAACTCTTTTCCCATGGGCGAGCTGAGGCTCTCGCACTCCAGACGAATTCGCGATCGTCCCGGTCGAAGGCCCACCCACGTGCGCATTATTTCACTCGCCTGCGACAGGAATTACAAGCGAGAATTATTTTGGGGGAATTATCGATCTTCCACGGTTAAATTTATGCCAAGTATCTTAGGGACCTTCAGAGATGGCATTATGCGGCAGCATCCGTCGTAAATGTGTTTCGAATCTTCCTCTTCCGCGGAGCAATTGAAGTCGCCCTCTTGATGCGTGCCACCCAGCACGACGCTGTGAATACTGTATGAACAGACATTACGAAGAAATGAGTGCCATTGTCGATAAATACGCTAAATATTAGTAGGAATAGGACCATCGTAGCTCGTTGTATACTTAGGAATAATGTAATTGCAGGCGTCGTCGTCCGCTAGAAAACAGTGCTTCGCCCAAGATGCCTTTACCTTAAACAGATTTTCTCAAGTTAAGTATTTTTATTTAAAACTCAATAAAAGTAGGGAAGTGTTAAAAAAAAAATGAATCACATAAATTGACAAAAAAAAAGATAAAAAATAATGTTTCTAAAAATGAAAAGTGACGCTTAAATAACAACTTGAAAATATCTATGTATGTTCATGCATATGAAAATAATTTATTATTATTATTATTATTATTGTAAGTTTGTAATTATTATTATTATTGTAATTATTGTAATTATTGTAATTTTAATAAACGATAATTTAGAGCTTTGAAAAATAGAGAGATATATGTTGCAATATTAATTGGAAAGTTCAGTTACCCTGTACACCTGACCTCTGATGGGTATCATTGTCTTATCCGCGACGAGTTCTCGTGCACCGAGCCCGCTGCAGTTTATTATTAAATCATACCCTTCGTCGGCTAGTTGATGCAGCATTTTAATATTTCTTTTTTCCATTTTCCCACCCAACGCAGCAAACTTTTCCATGAGCCATGGCAGTAATAAAACCGGTTCGGCGGTATAAGTTACGAAGTGCCAACCTTGTCTGAAATCATTAACTCGATAAACGATTAAATAAAAGAAACCATAATAACAGCAACCGATAATTAAAATGATTTGTTCTAATCATAATATGTTATAATAATTATAATTTAATTTTAAAGTGAATGTGACAATTAATTTAATTTTAGCATAGTGAAAACGTACTTGTAATTAGACTTGTGGTCTTTATTCAACTGTTGTAATCTTTCGTTACTCAGTTTTTGGAAGCCATAGACAATTTTTGCCCATGGTGGATCAATGTCGCTCGGATAATCGCTGGTGACACGAGTTACAGGTAACAGGCAAACACCTGTTTTCGGAGATAATCCAGCTTTCCACAATTGCTCGAACCACTTATGTGTGTTGTCAGCCCATCGACTAACATAATACCATAATTAATAATTGCAACATTTATTATCTCTTAGAAATAATTAATAGAGTTTCAGCATTCTCTATTCATTTACCTGCGGTATGTTTAAAAGCAATCAACGCTAAATTAATATTTTTTGGTATTTTTTTTTAAACTTTCTATTTCGCAATGTGGAAGTTCATTTAGTTTATTTTTCGCAAATGAAATTGAATGTACTTACATTATGTCCTCGGCGGGTGTGTCACTGAGGAGATAAGGACCCCATAAACCGGCACTTCCATCGCCAGTGGTGTCGGGTGAGAATACATCAGCGAAGATTTTAACTTCATAGCTCGGAAAAGCGCTTTTCACCGCAAATGCGCTTGTTACTCCTATTACACCAGCGCCCACGACAGCAACACGCATTTTCTTTACACGAATGCTTTTTTAGAGATTAATGCAGTACAACTTTGATAAAATAGATCGTGTTACAATAATATCTGTATTTATTTGCGATAATGGAGATTAGAGCTGCTTACGTAACTTAAGGTAACATATTTATTAATTGATACTTTAAACATTAATTTAAGCTTCACAAATTCATAAACTTTCAACGGATCATATAATAGAAAATATAATAATAGTAAATCTTATCAATTTAAACATTAAAAATACAAGAGACTTAATACAATAAGAAAAAAATTGAATCTATTAAGTTAAACATATTTCTAGCAATTTTGTAACATATTTACAATATGTGGAAAGTTAATGCTCGATTGTACATTGTTATATTATAATTATTACAATATTATTCAATAATCGATACTTTTCATTGGATGATTATTAAATTCCACTTGGCTTCTTTATGTTTCTTTAAATTTTACAAAATGTCCTTAAAAGAGGATATTGGAAATTGAAAACTTACCGGAAATTTAATTTAATTTTAACTCTTGCGTTCCTATCGCGTGTTCCGATATTCACATGAGAGAAATACGCGGCTCGTTCGTGACATGAAAGAGGAACGTCACCGCGAGAGCAAAATTAATTGCGAATTCGCTCTCGGCGAATTCCTCGCGCAAATTGTCGTCGCGTTGCTATCGATACACACTGACAGCGCGTAGGAATAAACGCAACGAGGTCGGGAGATGGATAACCTCGGTGAATCGGGGAGAAAAAGATTTCTTTAACGCCTCGGAACGAACGCGTCACTGACGATTCCTCGGCACGAGGGAACGTATCTCCCTCCGTCGAATGACACTTGACAAACAACGAGGCGCTCCTCGTAATCACGAGGATCATAAATCGTTCGTCAGGTTTTGCAAATAAAACACAATCCGCGAGTATTTTTTTTCTCCGGTCGCGCAAATAGTGAGGGGAAAAAAAAAAAAACGGGATGCGTTCACTTCGCATTTCGCTCGAGAGAGAGAGAGAGTTCATCCAACTGTACTAACATTTTCCATTTCATCATCGTAAAACTTGCAGGTGCAGCTCCCGGATTCCTGTCTCTGAGGATTGACATGCATTTACGACACCGCATATTCTTAGCATAATGCCTTTCGTAACACGGCTGAGTTATGCTGGAATATGGGAGCCGCAAAACTCAAGCGAAGAAGAGAGTTCCCCCTCGCTCGATCTCGCAGATGATTCTGTCGCATCGTACTGTTGATAAACGGAGCATAATACTTTTAATGATATTTTACAAAGCTCTTACACTCTGTTTACCGATAGCACAGTGCGCAAAAAAGATGCCGCATCTCACGAAACGTCGAATACTATTCTTTCTTCGATTAGACTTCTTACCGATTCTTATTGATCACTATCTCGAGAATTTAATCTCGGTTTTTTTATTTGAGAATATTTCTATACATAGAAATTCTTTGTCTTTTTATCGTCGAGTTAACGCGATTACAACATTTAGACAAATATCATACAATACGATATGTTTTTACGATGTACCTAACGGCCTTCGCTTTTAATACTAAAATATTTGGTATTAATTAATGTTTTTTATTATTTCTGTTTTTATTATTTATGTTTCAATTATTAATTTAATAATTCTCTATTTGTAATTACTTCTTTTTTATTTGATGTATGCGTTATATTATGTGTGCTAAGTATTACTTTTAATCTTTCACAGAGTGTCCATCACTAAGAAATATTTTTTTAATATTACATTTGTTCCAATAGTAATTATTCTGAATGAATTGTATTTCTATGTAAAATTATAAAAATTATAAAAATTATAAAAATATTCTTTACGATGCTTTTTTTTACGACTCTTGTATCACTTTCGTTGATTTCACACGACTCTTTAACAATCACATCTTATACGTTTTCTTCGTGATTACGAAAATATTGGTTGTTTGATCATACGAGAAATGTCACTTAGTTTTTGTTTCTATATTATTATTTTTTTTTTTTTAACAAAGAGATATTAGTCCAACATTTCACGGCTCAATCTCTACTGACTCGAAGGCGCGAAGTATTGTATCTCATACACAAGACGACTGACTGAAGTGCCTGATGACACTCCACGATAGGGAGTATTTATTTACACCGTATGCAAGTGCCCCAGCCATAATATGGCCCGGAAATGCGATAAAGGGTGTAGGTGACAGCAAAGCCAGGACTTAACGCGTAAATCATTCTTCCTCATAGATTAATTATTTGAAAGAAATTTTGCATTATTCCGTATTAATTCTGTTCTGTTTTAATACTGTTCTCTATGTTCGATTGGTACTTCTTTAATTTCAATTTATCTTCGTAAAAAATATATAACATAAAAAAATATCTTTGTGTCTTAAATATTATATTAATTTATAGAAGTAATGATTGATTGAATTAAAAAAAAATTTTTTCATATTTCTTATTTATATATCACCGCATTAAATTTCAACTTCTTTCAAGAAATCGACCGAGTTGCTTGAACAAAACGAACAAAAATAAGAAGACCAAAAATGTAAAGAATGTTAGAAAATACACCTTTGATATCTCTAGCGGAAGAATTTTTTAGAAATAAGCATTAAAATATAGAAAATTTGACTCATATTATGTACTTTATTTTTTATATACACATAAAGAAAGATCAATCGTTACCTTTGTAATGATCATCTGATAATCACCTTAGCCATATGATAATGATGGCTCACTCGATGCTATTACTGAGGCAAGATCTGAGAAAATATCCGGTCATTATCACGATACACCTGATCGCACTCGTGACGATCAGCCGGGGTGGCCGAGGAATATGCCTGCAGTTGCAATTGCACGAGAGCGAGCTGGTCTCGGATAACGGACACCGTATGAACGGGTCAAAGTGTTATCCGAAACCGCCTTACAAATGGCTTTTGCGTCGTTTCACAATGCTAGTCCTTTTCTACAAGACATTTTTTAATGTAATATTAATTACTATTAGGAGAATGTTTTACCGACACTGAATATTAAATTGAATATTAAATTGAAGAAAAGAAAGAAACTATTTATTCATTAAAATTCTCTTCTTGTAGCTAGTGTTCACTTTGTCCTCTTTTTCATCTAGGTTTTATAAGTCTGAGTTCATAATTTCGTAACTGAAGTCTTAATCCATTAAAAGGAATTTATTAATTAAAATGTAAAACAAGGAGGGAATACAGAATTTTTTATTTATATCGAAGTTGAGTAAAAAGAAGGAGAAAATAGAAGCATTGAAGCAATTAATTATACGTATCTATACTTTTTACGTGTATGTGTTTTCACATTATGTTTTATAATAATCTATAACAATTAGTTATATGTAAAGAAAATTAGTTAAAAAATAGTAGTAATAGTAGTAATTTATTTCTAAATTGCAACTATACTGGCGATCTTGTTGATTACTAAGCTGGAAATTGTGTATCGTAATCAAAATTATATATTTATATTTAATGTGCAAATTATTAAACAATTTTTAATTTTTTTTCTATTGATATATGTATAATCTTAATTTTTCTTCTCATGTACTTTTATTAAAATT